TATGGCTCAAAAAAGAAAGTACAAGAGAGATCCTTTTTCTCATTTCCCAAAGGGCAAAACCAAGTGCCAGGGAGATTCCCCCAAGAACACAGAACTTAGGGATACCAAATTGGTTGACCAAAAAACCAACTCCACTTTCAGACCAAGAAACAGAATTCCCACCTGTGAGGATATGACATACCTTGTTTACCATGATCTTCTTTCCCAAATGGAAGGATTTAATGTATGTGTCCTCTTCTTTTCCCATGTTTATAGGTTCACATAGGATATATTTATCATTTGCGACTAATATATTTTCCACATTCATCCTACATCTTGGATAACTTCTCACATTATGAGTTCTACATTCCCAAGGTAGAATCCAGGAAATTCATATCCCTGGAGTCCCTTGCCTCTACAGGGCAGACACACAGCTTAACTTCCACCTATCGGATACACCCACGGGAAATGTGGAAACAGGAAAGAGCAACGCTGAAGCATTGAGATGAATCTTTCAGCAAGTGTGGAGGTAGTGTTTGGTTCTGTAACCGCCCAACCGGTTCTTCCTGCCCAATGCCTAGACAGAGCCGATTTCTCTAGATAGTGGAATTGCAATAGAGAAAGAGTTTAATTCACACAAAGCTGGCTGGACAGGAGACAGGAATTTGATTATTACTCAAATCAGTCCCCTCAAAAATTCGGGGATTGGGGTTTTTAAGGATGATTTGGTGGGTAAGGGGTTGGGAAGTGGGGAGTGTTGACTGGTCAGATGAGATCATAGGGAGTCGAAGTGGATTTTCCTTGTTGTCTTCTGGTCCTGAATAGGAACATAGAACTGGTTGAGCCAAATTACTTAGTACGGGAGGCATCCAGCCAAATTACTTAGTACGGGAGGCATCCGCTGGTGCAACATGCAGCATCTGTAAAACATCTCAAGTGCTGATCTTAGGTTTTACAATCGTGATGTTATCCCCAGGAGCAATTTGGGGAGGTTCAGAATCTTACAGCCTCCATCCACACCACTCCTAAACCACAGTTTCTAATCTTGTAGCTAATTGGTTAGTCCTACAAAGGCAGACTAGTCCCGAAGAAAGAAGGGGGTTTGTTCTGCGAAATGGCTATTATCACTTTTGTTTCAAAGTGAAACCATAAACAAAGTTCCTCCCAAAGTTAGTTCAGCCTACACCCGGGAACCAACCAAGGACAGCTTGGAGAATAGAAGCAAGATGGAGTCAGTTAGGTCAGATCTCTTTCGCCGTCATAATTTCCTCAGTTATAATTTTTGCAAAGGTGGTTTCAGTTCTATCTGGGCAATAGTGGTAGTACTTCTGGCAACCAGCCCCTAAGTGCTGTAGAAGTCTGGTGGCAGCGACAGGAGTATTTTTGCTGGACCAGCACCTGGGGCATGATTGGGCTTTGTTCCTAGTCTGTAGCTTTAGAATGTGGCTCTTTGGTCCCCTTTGAGATGCTGTTTGCTATATAATGTCACTTACTAAATTCATTTTTTGTTTAATATAGTCCAGTAGATTCCATTGTTTGTAATTGACAATCCTGAGCAATAATGTTGGAGTAATTTATCATTTAATCCTAATTTACTCAATAATGAGGAGCTACATCCTGGCCTGGCATTATTAGCTACAGAGGCTGGAGTTGCAGCTGGCTGAAGTTTGTGCCGCTCAGGTAGGTATGAACATTTTGAAGGTGAGGTGTGGATATTGATTAACAATATTCTCAACATCCACTCTCAACATCCTCTCTTTCTCTCTTCCACTGTGTTGGAGCCACGAGGTTTTAGTTGGATTAATCCCACACCCCAGCTACTGGGATAGATCATGATTGGTCTAAAATAATCTGACCACAGTGATTGGTTCAGGGATGGGCCAATTAGAAGATGGTTTAGAACTCTTGTTCTAAACTGTGACTTGAAGTCTTGTTCTAAACTGTGAAGCCAGTCACAGAGGTGGGTAAAGGTAAGACAGCCACAGAAATAGAGCCAGATCAAATGCACTGGAAGCCTACTACCTGTGAACCTTTTAGTTATTATTGAGCCAGAAGATCCTTTTTAGTCATAAGCCGTCTTGAGCTGGATTTTTTTTTCTACTTGCAACTGAAAACATCTCAATATAAAAACTGTGCAAGGTTTTTGTTCCCGTGTGTGGCTTTGAAATAGCTGTGCTAATCATGGAGTTAGCATTTAGCCATCCCAACAGAGGGCAACATTTTGGTTCATTTCTTTTTAAAGTAATCAAAAGTTGGCAGGGCACGGTGGCTCACGCCTGTAATCCCAACACTTTGGGAGATCAACGCAGGTCGATCACTTGAGGTCAGGAATTCGAGATCAGCCTGGCCAACATGGTGAAACCCCGTGTTTACTAAAAATACAAAAATTAACTGGGCGTGCTGTCAGGTGCCTGTAGTCCCAGCTACTAGGGAGGCTGAGGCATGGGAATCACTTGAACCCGGGAGGCGGAGGTTACAGTCAACTGAGATTACACCACTGCACTCCAGGCTGGGCAACAGAGCGAGACTCAGTCTCAAAACACAAAAATAACAAAATAAAAGTACTCCAAAGCTATTTAACATATTCAACTTGGTGCCAACTTGTGCTGGCCACCGGGCTGGTGACTGGAAATGGAAAGATGAGTAAGATGTAGTACATGTTCTAAAAGGTTTCATTTTAGCAGGTCTCAAAGGAATTTATGCCTCAAAAATTCAACCTTGTTCTATCAGTGAGAACACTGAAGTTCAGAGAAGTCTCCTACCCAGTTGTTAACAGCACCAGGACTGGAAGCAAGGTTTATCAGTGTACTCGTCCATTCTTGCATTGATATAAAGAAATACCTGAGACTGGGTAATTTATAAAGAAAAGAGGTTTAATTGGCTCATGGCTCTGCAGACCGTACAGGAAACATGATGCCTATATCTGCTTAGCTTCTGGGGAGGCCTGAGGAAACTTACAATCATGGTAGAAGACCGAGGGGAAGAACACAAGTCACATGGCTGGAACAGCAAGAGAGAGAGAGAAGGGGAAGGTGCTGCACACTCTTCAACAACCAGATCTCATGAGGATTCACTGACAATGGCAAGGACAGTACCAAGGGGATGATGCTAAGCCACTCATTAGGAAATCCACCCCCATGATCCAGTCACCTCCCACCAGCCCCTATCTTCAGCACTGAGGATTACAATTCAATATAGGATTTGATGGGGACACAGATCCAAACCACCTCAGCCAGCTACAAGCCTGTGGTAATTTTGATTTGATAAATAAATATTTGCATTGAGTATGTAAGACATCTAAGATAACCAGGGTGTTCTCCTTTAGAGTTTAGATGTAGATATATGTAAATTTCCCAGCCTCTTGCAATAGCCTCTAAAATACAACAGTGGGATAAACAGATCCTCAGGTTAGTAGAGAATCTATTTCCCACCCTCAGAACAACTTATTCCCTATAAACCCAAGGTTCTCATAGGGAATTCCCTCACTCACATCCAAGGGCCAGCCCTGGTTGCTTGGACATAACAAATCCCGGATCATACTCACATTGCCATTGCAGCTGTTGGCACTGGAATAGGTTGTCACTGTTGGGTCCAAAGAAACATGGATGGTGCTGAGTTTCCTGCTTCTGAGACCCTCACTATCAATGGTGTCCAGAGTGCTCAGGTTACAGTGGCTCACCACTATGGGAAGAGGACAAGCTTCCCCTTCACCAGTGCTACAGTTGAACAAGGCTGTCCCATGCCAGCATTGCCCTGGGATCCCAGTGTTAGAGCTCTTTAGGTTCACTTCTAAATCCTTTGCCACTGGGCAAAAGGCCTTGCCCAGGATGACTGAGAAGGAGAGGTTCCAGCATCTGCTGCCAGAACCATGGTTCTCCTTTTATCACTGGACTTAGTCAAAGTGCCTGACCACTATCACATTGGTTTCTGCCCTTGGGGCAATTTTATCCAGAGAGCCTCGATTGCCCATATCTGTCACTGCGTCTTTGTCAGGGCCATCCCAACTTATAATAGCACTTACTCTCCAGGAAGAAGCACTGAGATCTACCGTCATCTTCTCTGAAGACCCGTGAATTCCCAATGGATATTACCCTTGTCTCACACAGCAGCCATTAAGTTCCTCCTACCCATTGGGTGTTTTCTGGCTTTTGGTTTTTTTGGGGGGATGGGGGAGCAAAATTAATTTCAATCACATTGAATACCCTATTATAAATCTCTATTGTCTTTTGGATAGAGGAAAGTAATCTATGTCTTCTAAGGACAATAATATTTTAGATTCTCTTTGAAAAAGATCTCACTGAATTGTTGAAATTCTAAAAAAATCACCATAACGGCTAATATAAAATAAAACCTTTAAGGTCTGGCTCATTGGCTCATGCCTGTAATCCCAGCACTGTGGGAAACTGAGGCAGGAAGATCACCTGAGGTCAGGAGTTTGAGACCAGCCTGGCCAACAGAGTGAAACCCCGTCTCTACTAATATACAAAACTAGTCAGCCATGGTGATGGGTGCCTGTAATCCCAGCTATTCAGGAGGCTGAGGCAGGAGAATCGCTAGAACTCGGGAGGTGGAAGTTGCAGTGAGCCGAGAGATGGCGCCATTACACACCAGCCTGGCCAACAGAGCAAGACTCTGTCACACACACACACACACACACACACACACGCACACACAGGCACACACAGATCTTTAACTAAATCACTGAATATGGTGGGCAACCTCTACAATGGCTCCTAGGGAGCCCCACCTTTCAGCATACACGCCCTTGTGTAATCCCCTGCCCTCGAGTGTGAGCTGGCTGTACCTAGTGACTTGCTTCTAACAAAAAGAATATAGTGAAATCAACGGACTGTCATTTTTGAGATTAGGTTACAAAAAGATTCTGATTTTTCTATTATCTGGTCTCTCTCTGATTTTTTTCCTATTATCCGGTCTCTCTCTCTCTCTCTCTCTCCCCCACCATCCCCCATCCTCCCCCCACGCCCCCATCTCTCTCCCTCCTCCCTCCTTACTCTAGGTGAAGCAAGCTGCCATGCTGTGAATAACCCTGTGGAAAGACCTGCAAAGAACTGGGGTCTCTGGCCAATAGCGAGTTTGGCTCTGAGGCCCGCCAACAGCCACATGAATGATCTTGGAAGCAGTGTCCTCTACGAAGCCTTGAGAGGACTGCAGCCCTGGCCAACTCCTTGATTTCAGTCTCTCTTGTAAGAAATCCTGGATTTTCTTTAGGCTTATGAAGAGTCTCAGGCACCCAGACTAACTGCAACTGCATCCTGATTCCTGAAAGACAGTCTTGAAATGCCTGTCTGCTGCTTTAATCCACTATGTTTTGGAGATTGTTACACAGCAGTACATAGCTAATACACTGAGTATTTGTAATACAAGATATTTGTAATACAAGATATCCTGAAAGACAGTCTTGAAATGCCTGTCTGCTGCTTTAATCCACTATGTTTTGGGGGTTGTTACACAGCAGTAGATAGCTAATACACTGAGTATTTGTAATACAAGATATTTGGCTTTATGTAAGACTCTGGCTTCAAGAGTGTTTGCATTCTTTGAAAGCTTTGTTCATACGTGAAGGAAAAATCAGTGACTCCGACCCAGGAAATCTTTCTCTGAGCCTCCCAGCTCCACGGCTGATCGACAGAGCGTCTCTGGGTTAACCACCTTCAGTTTCCTCACCTTTAAAAAAGGTATGATCATTTCTACCCTACTTTTCAGAGTTACACCAGTGGAAATAATACATGTAAAGCCACTTCCAGCAAGTGAAGCGCCGCACACACATGATATGTTTTGTTTTTAAAAGCCAGTCTTGGCGCCATTGCCATTTTCTGTTCCTTTCCTCTAAATACACCCATCCTTCATACAATCCCAATTGTGCCGTGTTGTGTTTAGCCTGAGAAATACGACCGATTGAAACTGTACACCACTGGTGAGGCTAAAGGCAGCACTGAGTTGCTACTGAAATTCAGTGTGTTTTCAAAGCGTTTTTCCCTCCTCTAGGGAGTCGGTTGTCAGAGGACATCCTGGCCTGTGAAGATGAGCACTTCCTCCCGGGAATCGGGTGGAGCCAAGGTGGAGGTCCTTCCTGGTGTTACTCCTCTAACTGAAGCCTGTCTTCTGTTCAGTAGACAAAGAAAGTACCTCATGACTTCCTGCATCCTATTCTCCGGGGTGTCATCCTTGTAAGGAAATACTGACTCTAGAGAGGAAATGTGTTTGTGAAAATAGAAATAATAATTAAATCATGTAAATCAAAAGAACAAGATGTATGAGGTGTTTAAAGAAACTAAAGCAAATCCCACTGAACCAAATCTAAATTCAATCAGATGAATATCTGACTTAGCTTGGTTAATTAACACGATTTATCAAGCAATAGGTGTCCAAAATGTTTCTGTGGTGTTTAGGCACTTTTCTGCATTTTGTGAAATGTCTACAGTGAATGTGTAACACTTTGGTGATCGAAAATGGAGAGGAATCAATTAGAAAAGCCTTCAGTAAATAGTACAGAGAGTATTTTCTTATTTTTGCTAAAAGAAATGCAAAAATGATAAGCTTGAAACAGATGAGTGGAAAGGAGTAGGATGGGAGGGGGGATGGAAATAAGCCTTCTCAGAGTACAACTTTTAATATCATTTTGATTTTTGAAACATAGAAATGTTTTACATATTCAAAAAACAAAATTAAATCTAAATGGATTTTTCAAATTCTAAAATTGAATGCAAACAGAAGAAAGCATAAATATATATATATGTATATATCAAATTAAAAAATAACCACAGAGAGAAAAAAAGTATTTCAAGTAACTTTTAATTTTAAAAATCTTTTGATTCTGGCTAATTCAAGTTACTTTTCTTTCTTCTTCCTTTTCTTTTTTCTTGCAGAGATGAGATCTTGCTATGCTGCCCAGGGTGGTCTTGAGCTCCTGGCCTCAAGTGGTCCTCCCACCTTGGCCTCCCAAAGTGCTGGGATTACAGGCACAAGTCTCTGTGCTTGGCCCTCAACTTACTCTTATTTCTGACTGCTATCTGTAATGGGATACATGCTAAGGCCAAAAAGAATGGTAAATAAATTTGAAACTTGACTTACTAGTTTTGTTGACAGCCGTAATGTTAGTTCATTTTACAGGTCAACTTTACCAGGCCATGCGGTGCCCAGACATTTAGTGAAACACTTTCGGTGTGTCTGTGGGGGTGTTTCTAGGTGAGAGTGGCATGTGAGTTGGTAGAATGAGTAAAAGCAGACTGCCCTCCCTACTGTGGGCGGGGCTCATCCAATCAGCTGAAGGCCTAAGCAGAGCAAAAAGCCTGACTCTCCCATAATAAAAGAGAACTCCTCCTCCTGCCTGCCTTCAGGTTGGGACATCATTTCTTTTCCTGCCTTCAGACTGAAACGGAAACATTGGTTCTATCAGGGTCTGAAGCCTGCCGGCCTTTGGCCTGGCTCTCCTGCGTCTTGCTGGCTGCAGACCTTGGGATTTGACAGCCTCTGTAATTGCTGAGCCAATTCCTTACAGCAAATCTATGTTTATTGTATATATTTATATTATGTATATGTTTATTGCATATATTTATATATAATATATATTATATGTTTATTTATATATGTTTATATATGTTATATATATATAATATAAACATTATATAAGTTTGTTTTGAGACAGAGTCTCGCTGTGTCGCCTAGGCTGCAGTGCAGTGGTGCAATCTCAGCTCACTGCAGCCTCCACTTCCCGCGTTCAAGCGATTCTTGTGCCTCAGCCTCCTGTGTAGCTGGGATTGCAGCCATGTGCCAACACGCCCGGCTAATTTTTGTATTTCATGTTGGCCAGACTGGTCTCAAACTACTGGACCTAAGTGATCCACCCGCCTCAGCCTCCCAAAGTGCTGGGGTTATAGGCATGAGCCACCATGCCTGGCTGATAAATATTATATATGTTTATAGATGTACATATAAAAACACATACACATACACACAAATCCTTTTGGTTCTGTTTCTGTGGAGAACCCGAACACACTGTAATTCTAAAACAGTTCTATTTCTATTTTGGATAAAGCAAATAATCTACTTAGGAAACAAGATTCTCTCTGTATGAGAAAAGGTATGAAATACAAAAGAAATGAAAATACAAACTAAAGGAAGATAAGAGAAGTCCTACACGATGATATTTGTGCGGGAAATGTCATTAAGAACTCATGACTGGCCGGACGCGGTGGCTCATGCCTGTAATCCCAGCACTTTGGGAGGCTGAGGCAGGTGGATCATGAGGTCAGGTGTTCGAGACCAGCCTGGCCAACACAGTGAAACCCCGTCTCTACTAAGAATACAAAAAATTAGCTGGGCTTGGTGGCAGGCACCTGCAATCCCAGCTACACGGGAGGCTGAGGCAGAAGAGTTGCTTGAACCCGGGAGGCAGAGGCTGCAGTGAGCCGAGATCATGCCACTGCACTTCAACCTGGGCTACAGAGGTAGACTCCATCTCAAAAAAGAAAAAAAAAAAAAAAAGAACTCACGATTACATTGACAACGCATCTCCCAGCTTTGCTCGCTGAAATGGCCTGAGAACAACCAGTGCCCAGAGTTCGACTTCTAAGTGTTATTCCCACTAAAAGGAACCAGGGATCCCTGGAGAAATGGCTGACTTTAGATCTGGGACAGAGAAAGCACAAGATAAGCCTAAGATAACTTGTGCCCCAAAGAGAGAGAAAGGGAGTGAAGGGGAGAGGGAGAGAGAGAGAGAGAGGGAAAGAGAAAGAGAGAGAGAGAGAGCAAAATAAATAAAGGTGGAAGAAGAAAGGAAGCTCCTCTTTTTCAGAAATCCAGCTAATACATGTAGAAAAGATTATCAAATTTAAAAAATAATTTTGCAGCTCTCAATGTAATAACGGATTGAGGCAGGGATCTTCATGGATCTTTAACAGCTGGACACAATATTGTTAGTGATGAGTTATTCAAACAATCTCAAAGTATCCCCCCTACAGATAATTTGACAGTTGAAAACAACAGCAAACTGCAGGTATACAACGGAGATATCTGGTGGTCCCAGTCTTAGCCAAAATATCCAACGTGCATCACAAATATTAGGACAACCTGATAGCATGTGCCTCTTGATGTGATGAAAGCACAGGTTTTCAAGGCCACTTCTGTAATGTTCTTACCAATGTTGTTTAAGCTGAATCTAATCACACATTGAGACTTCAAGTACTCTGAGTTACAGGGAAAAAATAAGAACCAGGAACACAGTAAACACTACCATGAAAAGACAACCAGATCAATCTGGAAGGCAGAAGATGGCACAAGACCATTGGTCTGAGCTCTTCAAAAAGTGCATCGCAAAAGATATAAAAGCATGTGGACTGTTCTATAATAAAGAAATTAAAGAGCAGTAACAGTCACATGCAATGCCTGAACCTTAATAGGATCCTGAATTGGACAAAGGAATATACACTGCATGAGAAGATAGAATGAAATTGTTCATTTAATTAATTAATTTATTTTTGAGACAGAGTCTCACTGTGTTGCCCAGGCGGGAGTGTGGTGGTATAATCTTGGCTCACTGCAACCTCCGCCTCTTGGGTTCAAGCAATTCTCCTGCCTCAGCCTCCTGAGTAGCTGGGACTACAGGCACGTGCCACCACACCTGGCTAATTTTTTGTATTTTTAATAGAGATGGGTTTTCACCATGTTGGCCAGGCTGGTCTCAAACTCCTTACCTCAAGTGATCCACCCACCCTGGCCTCCCCAAGTGCTGGGATTACAGGCATGAGCCACCGCACCTGGCTGAAATTGTTCATTTTTATTAAGTATGACAATGATATTACAATTAGGTAGGAAACCATTCTAAGGAGATTAATGCTGAATTATTTAGAGGTGAACTATTGTGATGACTACAACTTATTTTCAAATAGTTAAGTAAAAAGAAGTGGATATATGTATGTAAATAACAGAAAAAAGAGGGAGGGAGTGGCTGGGGGAGAGGAAAAGAAAGGGAGAGACACACAGAGAGAGAGAGAGGTGCACCCAAGCGTGCACTGGAGAGAGAACAAGCAAATGGGGTAAAATTGGTGACTCTGGTCCAAAAGTGTAGAATTTCACTTTATGATTTTTTCCATTTTTCTGCACATTTGAATATTTTCAAAATGAGAAATTGGGAGGAAGGTACTGATGATAATACTTGGGGAAAATCAAGTGAGGTTGCTGCAGGAAACGTAATGACGGACCCGTGCTGTTAGATAAGAATAGTAACTTCCCCCACAGCTGGGGAGGAGCACAGCTGTCAGTCAAGGATCACTCTGTGAGGCTGAGTGTGCAGCATTAATGCAAAACAGCAGACCTAATCCACGTGCCCCAAGCCATTGCTACAAAAGCAATGGGCGCTCTTCCCGGGTAGCCCCATGTTCCAGGGAGCCAAAGCTTGCAGCGTGAGGGGGTCTCTTCTTGGAACAGAGGTCGGTGAGCGAAGTCAAGTCCAGGCTTGGCTTTGAGAGATCACACGTCAGTTGCACAAACAGGATGAGAAGGCAGCAGAGTGAGTGGCAGAAAGGAATTTGTGGCTGAAGGAAGAAACGTGGGCTCAGAGCTGGAAGCTTAATATAATTTTATACATGACAGCAGTGTTTCCCAATTTCCGGGAGATATTTTGGCTATTGTTGTTAACAGAGGACTTTCTGTGACCTCTCAGTGTGTTTCAGTTCTTTCACCTGTCTCCACCCTCTCTGCCCCCGGGTACTCGATGATTTCCAAGACCTCTGCTCCCTCTCCCTCCTCCACAACACTAAAAGAAAAACCGTGCAGCTATTTTCCCCAATGCCTGCTCAGGGCTTTCAGGCTCCACCTTCCCTGAAGAGCCTTCTCTGTTACTGGGGTTTTGAAATAACCACGTGGAAACCTAGAGATTCCCAACTGGGCACAAAGAATTACGGTTTCACCGTGTGAACAAGAATCACATAATTGTTCAAGTTCCCTGTTGGATTGACTATTTTTAATCTACTACAAGCAAAAACCTCATCAATGTTGAAATGGTGTGGTCAAAGCTAACTGGTTTAAAATACACACATATGGTGGCATTCATCTTTCGGGTAGGAATCTATTTGTATTCCTGTGCTCAGCTGTGCCATGAGGGGCAGGTTGAGAGGAGCCAATGCTGCCTGAGCAGTTCATCAGAGAGAACAGACCAGAGGCAGAGTGCCTCGCAGAATGCCCCGCGGCTCCACTGCTTCTGTCAAATCTGTTCAAAATATTGCTTGTGGCTTTCCACAAACTAATTGCCTTGAAAAATCAGATTATAAATGTTATTGAGTTTGAGGATAAGATTGTTGCTTTTATTAATCCAACAAGTCCCTGTCTCCATAAAAGGTCCATGTGTCCCATGAGTACTAAATATATGTACACTTAATACCAGCTAAAACGATTTATGCTCCTTTTTGTACTGGGAACATGGTTTTGCCAGATGGTATCGCAAGCTGGCTACATCTGCTTTCCTTTCCACCCTGGCTGCTAAGATGTTCAGAGCCAAATTTGAAGGCCACCTCTACCAATGCAGTCAAAGCCTTATGACCTACATTTGGGTTACTATTCTTATTTTTGCATCCTCATGATTTCTTCTTCTTCTTTTTTTTTTTTGTTTTTTTTTGTTTTTTTTGTTTTTTGTTTTAGATGGCATCTCGCTCTGTCGCCAGGCTGGAGTGCAGTGGCATGGTCTCGGCTCACTGCAACCTCCACCTCCCGGGTTCAAGCGATTCTCCTGCCTCAGCTACTCGTGATTTCTTCTTAATTGGTTCTAGCTCTGTAAGTTGCTTGGAATCCTTCTTTGAATGAGGAGGTGTATAAGGGATGGGAAAAACACCGGTGGAGCATAAAACATAGGAGAGGTTGCTCAGGCTCCCGTCGCCCTCAGTTTGCATATTCATCAAGGGACCGTGGGA